CTGCTGACCAACAAAGAAGCTAAAGGTGCTGCTGACCAACAAAGAAGCTAAAGGTGCTGCTGACCAACACGCAGCAGAAGCTTGTTTCTGTCCTGTTGAGTTGTGGGCTGGTTTGTAGCAGCTGCAGCTCAGAGACGAACATGGACAAACAGCTGGAAGGAGACGGGGACAGATTGCTGGGGGTTCTGTTTGGGACCCGGTTCCTGACCCGTGTTGTAGCGGTTTGGACTGGTTTCGGTGTTGACCTCCTGACCTGTCAGGAACAGTTTGTGTTTGTGGCGTGCAGTTTTTCTGACAGGAGCAACATCTGAGCAGAGATCTGACGATGAAGGAGCGACGCAGAGCAACCTTCCCTCCTCCTCTTCATCACCCCAGGTACGCTCCACCTGTGTGTGATGTCAGCTTTCATCATCTCATCTGTCTGTAGCTCTCATGAGACCTTTGTCTGTCTCTGGGTTTGTCTCGTATCCATCCCTGACGTCCTCTGACGGCGTCTTTGTTTGCGTCCTCAGCTCGTCTTCAGGATGATGAAGGACGCGAAGCGGCAGCCTCTTCACATCTCGTCGGCGTTTTGAAGTCTGACTTTCTGCTCTTCAGCTCACTTTGTGCTTCATCTCTCCCCGGAGTGTGTGTTTGTGTGTGAGTGCTTCATGTGACGCACACGCAGCCTTTCCCTTCATGTCTCACTGAAGATCCGTTCCAGGGACCCAGAACTGAACCTCCGTCTCACCTGAGACAGAACCACAGAGCTGGAGTCCTCTGAAGGACACAGAGTCCTGGGTCTGAACCTGTTTTATTCAGAACCTCTGAGCCTGAACCAGGTTTTGACTGCACCTCCTGGTTTATTTGTTGCGTTTCATTTTCTCTGTTCCTTTGAGCAGGAGAAAGTTTGAGATCAGACTTGTTCCTCAGAGGAAACCACGCAGGCTCTCAGAGCGCTCCGCCTGGAAATACCAAATCTTCATGACCTTTATCGTCTTTTCTGTGGAGCTTTTACTTTTATAAACAGTTTTTAAATCAATCCAGGAAGAGGCAGCTGGATCTGAAGAGCCACGAAGGACGAGGCAGGTGAAGACGAGGGATGCACATTGGTTTTATGGAGATGTTTCAGGAAGAAGGTGAATTTTTGATCCTGTTAGGTAGGAACCAAAAAGGATCTTATTTTTAATGTATAATTTCTGAAACACTTTATTTCAGAGGGCACATTCCAGCCCACAGGACCAGGGGCCCAAAACAAGCCTCACTTTACAGATAGTGGTTAACACGGAGCTGTTTCCTGGTTTATGCTGAAATATATTTTTACAATA